AATGCTTGTTTAACCTATTCCAACTCTAAATATCCTTGAAACCCTCGACTCTAAGCAGTCGAAAACTAAGTTTTAAGCACTACCAACTTGTTTTTCAAAAAAAAATAAATTACTGTAGAACTCATTAACGTAACAGTGTAGTGAACATATACACAAGTACAACGAACTCATAAGTGAAACTTTTATAATTACATAAGTTGGTTACAGATTATCTATGGTGAATTTGAATTTTCCCTCGAATGAATGTGGAAAAGGATAAGAGATAAATGTGACTACTAATGGTGGATATTTTAATTAAAATTGAACCTCCCAAATTGGAGCCTGAAATTCCTATTCAGATAAAAAAAAAAATGGAGCTAGAACTGAGAATCCACCGAGTCCTTAACAATTCTTAGTTCTTAAACCAGAATCGTGGGTTATCTATCTCTGGAACTACATTTTTCATTTTCCTGCTCTTTTTTTTTTTTTTTTTTTTTTTTTTTTTTTTTTTTTTTTTTTTTTTTTTTTTTTTTTTACATTTTACAAATTGACCTTAACCAAAAATACCCAACCCAAAAAGTACCAAGTTTGTAATATTCAAGTAGTAAGTATCCATAGTCAGTTAGATTCATTCATTTGAATATATCACTATCATTCATAGCCACTCATATCCATCCTTTACACATTGCCCGTTCCACAAATCCTTCTTAAGATGTGTTGAAGATAAACCGACAAGTTCGATTCTTCGAGTATATTTAGTTATTTGATTATTCTGCATTTAGTACTTCCTTATCGTGAGTTCTTTTTCATTTTTGTTCTTTGGGTACGTAATTTAATGTTATATTGGATGTTATTTGATGGAATATTTTGCTGTATATTGGATGATATCATGTTAGATGTTAAATGTAATTACTTGGTGGTATATTTGCAATGGATTAAAAAAGTGTTGAAATATATATTTGGCAACATCTTATTTTCTTATATTTCTACTAAGCATTGGAAGATAATTTATAGTGTCATGTTCGGGTTTGGCTTCAATAATTACATGGAACAAAATGGTTCCATTTTCAAAATACTTAAAATGTAATAGGTAATTCCGGATATTAAGATATTTCGATTGATCCACCCGATCCCTTGGCCTAATGATCAATACAATGCCCGATTTTTATCCATTCGTGTTTTCCTTTTCTTTTTTTTTTTTTTTTTAAGTCCACAAAATGGCTGTGATGATCCTCAATTCAAGGCAGAGGTATGCATATATGTATGGAGAAAGCCATTTGTACAGAATAAATTCTCACAGAATGTTGTCAGAATCTCACATGTAGTGGCCCCCACGTTGTGATAAAAAATTGTCAAAAAATTCACTCACCCCTACTATGAGTTGTCTGTACGTACGCCTTCCGTGAAATTTTGTTCAGGCCACAAGCATCTCCCTATATGTATACATCAGAGAACAGGAAAACTAATTAATAATGTGATGGTGGTGCAGTGATTGATATATTCTAATGCATGTACCTTGAACTGATAGTTGTGGTTATTATTGTCTCGTTGCATGCATCACTTTCATGCATCTTCCTGAAGGCAAAGCAGCATCTGCAAATGAATTCTGAATGACATCAGGTTGGTATATGAACAGTGAGTTTTAATCATCGCAATCTTGTCATTACATGAAAATATATATATATATATATATACATACACACACACACACAAGAAATTAGATGGGAATATTTTCACCTTTAGAGAGTGAGAGTGAATTATGTTAATCACTTTTTATTTTTCATATATGTTTTTGTCACTTCTTTATTTCTTGAAACTTTTTGTCAATTTTTTTAAATATACACCTTTTCTCTTCCAAAGTGTTACAAAATTTTCAATCTTTTTCCATGATGTTCGAACCAAATAGACATTTTCATCCAAAGTATAAAGAATAATAAAAAATTGATGAGAATTTTGTCAACTTATATTCGAGGACATAATAAAATAGCACTTAAAACCAATTTGTGAGTGAATAGGCATATCTGCAATTTTTATTTTTTTAATTTTTTTATTTTTTGGCGGGAGACAATTTTATTTTGATCAATAAGTTAGACTAGCTCTAAGAAATTCCAAATATTATTTACTTAAAAATGATTTTTAAAATAAATAATCATTTTTTCATCAATATGAGAATAAGCTCACTTATTGTTGAAGCCAACTATTTTTCTAATCAACCGTTATTTGACCCTACGTGGACGGATGTCTTATATTTTCATAGAAAAGAAAATTTATCTTGTGACCTATTTTTATATTTACTGATTTTTTTCACTAGTTCATCACAGCTAGAAATGCAAGAATAACTAAACAAAAAAGAAAAAAAAATGATGTAAATTTCCATCACTAAAATTGATGAATTTGTGTCTAGTTTATTTTAAGAAATTAAGGATCGTCTCATAAAATTTAGGAAGAACCCTGTACATAATTAAGCAACCTTTTCACTACCGACAAAAAATGGGGAAAATGTCAAAAAGTTAAAAGGCAAAGAAATAGGCAATAAAAAAAGAGGAGACATATGTTATACGGTCTCCTTTTAGGATTTCCAAATGGGGATAAATATGTTTTGAGATCATAACCAAAGCAGTGGGAGAAGTTAAATTTATAAGAGTAAGAAAATTTTGACTAAAAATTATGTAATAACCATTTCCCTTCTACTTGCACTAAAATATGGATAAAACCCCCTATTTCGATTTGGGGACAAGGTTGAAGACAAAGGCGCCATATTGGAGGGCATCTGTCAAGGGCAAGCGCCACTCCAATGGAGGGGGTCACTGTCCCTGACCCTGTCCCCAAGTCCGGACACGGAGCAGGCTTCCTAAAATAATTAAGTTTCAGTTGGACTATTTAATTTATAAATAAATTAAACGTGTGGTGGATAAGTGGTTATATCCATTGAGATGTGTGGTTGAAAATTAAATTGAATTATTTAAAATAATTTTTAAGGCATTTTAAATTAGCCAAATTGATACAAGTCCTTTTTTTTCCTCCATATGTGAAGGGGGTTTGACGGATCTGTTTATTATGAAGAACTCTTATTTATGGAAATTGGTACAAAGCCACTACAAGTTTTAATATCAACACAAGTAATTAAAGAAAATAAATGAGAGTATATCACAACATCATAATAATGTTTGAAAATTAATTTTCTTAAACGTTGCATTAAATTTTCAAAAGCAATATTCTGCCAATATTGTTGGGTTTGATTACTCGTTGTTATAATTAAAATTATTGGTGGATAATTAAATAACATTTGTGAATGCTACTATATGTATGATTAAAATTAAAAAAAAAAAAATCAACTTGCAATCATAAAGAAATTATAATGAAGTTAAAATTATTCCAAGTGTCTATACATTAAATTGTTCCATTCCCTTTGTCTGTCTACCTGAAATCTGTCACAGGAGTCAAGCAAAGAAGACGCATTAATTGCATTCACAGTATTGCAAGCTGCAGCCCCATTCCGATAATGTTTTTACCTCTAAATGAGCATGTGGACGGAGGAATAGAAAGGTCTAGGTGCCATGTCAGGTACAAACAAGAGTTAATTAACAATATTGATGCATGAAGTATGATATATATGTGGATTAATTCATTTAAGATACTTATGTTATTTTTATTATTTCACTTTGGTTAATACTATTGGTAGAAATCACAATGTCTCGGTATATATAAGTATATGTATGTGACGTTACCAAGGTATCGAATAATCATTTCCACTCTCCTTCACACCCTCACATCAATGGGCTCATAAATTATTTTTTCGGCGTTTATTTATGCACGTACAGGTTAATCATAAATCATTACATTCATTACATTATTATGCAGAAGAATAAAATTAAATTAAATTGAACCTCGTTGTAATTGACAGTACAAATTATTGTTCAAACAAATCTCATCCCTTTTCTTTCTTTCTTTTTTTAGAAGGAAGAAATAGGGTTATATGTGTTATGGATTAAAATTAACAATCCGTATTATTGCGCGAAAATAATGCGAAATAGCCCCTTGGAGCATATCCCAGTGGTGCAAAGGACATGAGTGAGATAATCCCAACCTTACTGGCCGCCGCAGTGTGAGAGTTGGATTTCTGAAATATGGAATTGAACTCTTTGTGAACATCAGTACTATACAGGCAAGCTCTTGTTCCCTGACCTATTAGGGCACATCTCGATATTTACCTCCCTCACGATGCTCCAGAGACAGGACGATGGGGGCCCTTAAGGTTGAGGTTCAACCTTTAGAAAATAACGTGAAACGAAACAAAGCAAGAAAAGGACACAATTTAAGGTGCTTCACTCTCAATACGACATTTATGTACACCAAGTGCCGCTGAAAAATACACTATACACAAGAATAGAGTTACTAAGTCCTTTGTAGTCACCTCTCTCTTTTTCTATAAAATGACAATCTGAATGGAGTTTGCCCTAATATCTTTTGCATAGGATAAAAATATTAGGGCAACATAGTACATGCATAAAATTTCTAAAAGTATTCTTGTAACACTTAAAAAATTTATTTCTAGGAGGAGGGGGGGGGGGGGGGGGGGGGGGGGGGGGGGGGGGGGGGGGGGGGGGGGGGGGGGGGGGCTATCATACATGAGGAAAGAAGTGTACTATCTATTAATCTCCACACAACCAAGAGTATATGATCAAGTCTTCATGGCTTTTAGGCTCAATACAAAGAATTGCTTCTAAGATCTGCAGTAGTCAAACATTGGAATTATAGATTAATATTTGTGGAGAAGTCACATATAAAAGAAACTTCCTGGACCAGAAAATTGCTTGGAAGAGAATTGTCTGTGACTTCCACTCATTTAAATTAATTCTTTTGTACACAACATAAAAGGGATAAGATTTCTTGATTTTCTATGAACTCGTAAAAAGTTCTTTCGCTATCTTAGATTAATCTTCTCTCTCCCTGTGTGTGTACATAATATATTGTCTCAAAGCATCAAGTCAAGAAATCTTCTCTTCTTCCAAACTCTAATCATGACAGAACCTGACAACTCTCTCTCAACAGGATGGTTCAACTTCATAATGCCCACTTCTCCTCCCATAAAAGAAGCTCTTCCTCTTCTCAATAAACTAAGCCTCACAAAAGAATATCATAAGGCCCCATGGAATGCCATGGAGGATGAAGATTGTTCCACAATCGCCAATAATGAAAGTGAAACTGTATCTTTGCATATAGGGCTTCCGATAAGCTCAAGTTCTGGTTCATCAGGATCCGGGCTTTCTTCTTCTGGAGAAATTACTGATAAAGATGGTTTTAATGTACTTTCAGGGCTGCCCTCAAACAGCCTGAACAAGGGCCAATACTGGATATGGTTTTAATGTACTTTCAGGGCTGCCCTCAAACAGCCTGAACAAGGGCCAATACTGGATTCCTACCCCTTCCCAGATTATCAGTGGACCAACTCAGTTTTCGTGTCACATTTGCTACAAGAGTTTTAACAGATACAACAACTTGAAGGTATATTTTTTAGCCGTTTAGATACCCTCGGCCTCAATGTTTAGTTGCCTTCAATTTTATAAAGATCCAGATTGTTGAAGTAGCTTATCAGCTTCAGCTGTTAGAGATACATACTTATTTATAGAAATTTAGGCTTTAATTCGATTAAGTGGAAGTGTAACTGTTCGTCCAATAATTGCTAATTCTTCCACCAACTAGTGATGAGATCTTGGCAGTTTTTCTGTGAAATTGGTGACAGTGAAACTTCTGCCAATTTCCTCGAACTGTTGCTAAGGTAGCCACCATAGAAGAATTGTCGCCACAAAAGTTATAATTTAATCAAGAATGTAATCTTTGCAACCATTTATAATTTCATACACTCTTCTTTTATATGCAGATGATCCACGTGCATAGGTAAGTCTGTGACCCTTTCTATAATTATTATTTTTTTTTTTAACGTGTAATTTCAGTTTTAATATTACCTATTATTTAGGCTCAGATATGAAACTGATGATTAGTATCATCCTACAAAATGGGAAATCCTAAAGCATAAATTGGTGTGTCCTTTTGGAAAATCTATAAATTATTTGAAAATGGTCAAACTTCATTTTGATCAACTCTACATGTCAGTAAATCCAATCCACTTATCCATCCCTTTTTTGTGTTCATTTATACACTAGACAATTTATAAAATCTTTCCAAAAGGAGGCTGGTCATTTGCCATAATTTTTATCCTAATTTACTTATTGTTTCAGTCTTGCACTGCTCCTCTCAATCTGCTTCTCGTGTTCATACCTTTGTGGTGCCTAATATAATATATGTCTAGATTGAATTGCCGTGGGCAAGATTAATACGGAAAATTCTTCTATCTTTGCCTACTTTCTAGCATTGAAACTTTTCTACAATATTTTGTGTCAAAATTCAACCTTTTCTTTTTAATTTGAATATTCCTTATATATTTTCTTTTATTTTGTGATATTAACGTGAAATACGTTTTCCAGATGCATATGTGGGGGCATGGATCACAGTACAGAAAAGGGCCTGAATCTCTAAGGGGAACTCAACCAACTGGAATGCTAAGGCTTCCATGCTATTGTTGTGCACCTGAATGCAAGCACAATATTGATCACCCAACAGCAAGGCCCCTCAAAGACTTCAGGATCCTCCAAACACATTACAAGAGAAAGCATGGAACAAAATCATTCGTGTGCACAAAATGTGGGAAACCCTTTGCAGTTAAGGGTGATTGGAGAACACATGAAAAGAACTGTGGCAAGATTTGGTACTGCATTTGCGGTTCTGATTTCAAGCACAAAAGGTCCCTTAAAGATCACATTAAAGTCTTTGGTCTTGGACACCAAACTTTGGGAATTCGCATTGATTTTGAAGAAGATGATGAAAATCTGCTGGAAACATTTCATCTAAAAGTTTAAATTTTAGTTTTTAGAGAGGACAAATTCAGTCATTTTGATTCAGTGATAAGATGCTTGGTACTATGTTAAACGACATTTAAAAGTTTAAGATTTGAAGATGGGGTAATTTGTTCATTTGAATTTTACCTTCCCATGAGAAGGAGAGATTTGTTCAGAGGCCAATTACGGCGGGAATCTCCAGTATGATACGGGAGTGAATTGTAGTATAAAATTTTATGAATGTATATGGATGCCGAAATTCATATTCGTACGGCAATCAAGCGTCAATTGTTCTTTATGTTGTAATGTGACAAATACAAGGGTTTTAAAGTTTAATCAATCATTTGATCTCTCAAAGTAAGATCTGATCCGAACATACACTTACACTCTCTAAATATAGGAGTGTAGTGTTGCATATGTGCACTTAAATTCACTATTGGCAACTTTTAAAATTTCAACTTTTTTTTAAGTATTCTATTCACGAAATTATTCTTTCGATTTGTTTCCGCAAGTGTACAGTTCGCAACAAGAAATAAAGTGAAAAATAGAATCTGAATGTCGTCCTACAGAGATTGAATCTAACTCGGCCTTAACCGAATCCGAATTTTCAAACGAGATTTGTAGTAACTTAAATTAACCTTAACTTAACCTAATATACGACTATGTAAGAGTCAAACGAACTAGAATGCAAAATGAATATTTGAGTGCAAGTTTGATGTAATTAATGAATATGAAACGCACTAAGATCACAAATCTCCAAACAATGCTCACTTTTAACCCAAATTTCACAAATTAACAACACGTTGAATTTTTGAAAAATCAATGCCCCTAAATCTATCCAACAGTCTTTTTCGAGTAAAATTGAACATATTCTCATATACCACAAACCCATCTCTCTATGATGGGTGAAAATATACGAAAATGCATGTTGTTTTGTAAGTATTTAAAGATTCACGCAAGGTATGATGGTATATCTCTATTTCCTATCGGACTCTATGATGATTTATACCTTGTCGAACTCATTCCCCATCTCTCAAATGCATAAAATAAGTTACCACACTCACACAATTACGTGCACATAGTTATGGAAGCAATTAAATTTATATAAATCATTCAAAATTCAAGAACATGTTTTGATGTCAAAATTGCAAAACTAGAAATTAAAAAGTTACATCACAATGTTTATCAATCTCCTATTACAGCCTAACATGGAGAAATTAACAAAATACATAAAAGCTTTGAGAAATGACATCACCAGTATAAGAATTTGCGTGTAATCCCGTCGATCTTCGCGTTTTTCTTCGTTACTGTGGTGCAAAATATCCTCCAAGATGCGTTCTTTTCTCTTCCAAGGCGTTCTCTCCTCGATTTGACGGCTCTATGGTCTCTATATAGGTGCCAGAGTTTGTTTCCATAAGAATTTGAAGTAAAGAAGGAAATTGAAAATCATGATTGTGATGCCCTATTTTAATTTGTTGAACGCCACCATGCGACCACATGGTGGCCACTTTTCTTCCAAATGTGACAATCAAGTCCCTGAACTTCCAATCTCATGCGTTTTGACTCCTTTTCTCAATCTTTCTTCTCCTAATACTTCAAATCTTCAACAATTTGGTCCTTGAGTCTTTCACATTGTTGTTCCTATCGTTGGTTCATTTTTTGGCTATTTACATATTAGTTCCTGAACTTTCATTCTTTTTTCATTTTGGTCCATTTTCTTCATTCTATTATCTCATATTATCACCAAGTTGGTGCTTAGCTCGTTTTCATTCTCGATTCGTCTTTCGGGTCATCTTTTGGTTATTGGCACTTTGGTCCATGAAATTTTGATTTCTTTCTTTCTGGCCTGAATCTCATCATATCCATCAATACAGGCCTGAAAAATGAAATTGCATAAAATTAAGCTATATTGAACCACTTTTTTCAACAATTAATCATGTTTTGTGGACCAGATAAGTGTGTAAAAATGCGTACTTATCATTTTCTCTTAGCTTTTGAAGTCTAAACATGATAAAATCGAACGAAAAAATATTGTAGCTACCATATTTTTATTTTAGTGATCCTCGTATTTCTGTTATATATTTATGGTATAAATATAAAATGTGAAAGAAATAATCAAATTAGATAAAATGCCAAAGTGGTGGAAAATGTGGCTTCTGTGTGGGACGTCAGGGGTTCGAGTCACTCCCCACGCAGATATTAAAATGTCTTGATTGGGGCCTTGGGCTCTTGGGCTTCTTCCTTGACTAAAATAAATGATTTTTTTTATTATATAATGGGTAAAACTAGCCAGTATTTCTTGACTGTTTGTTTTTGTAACAACCCACTAACAGCCATTAAAACACCCACTACTCAGTCATTAAAATTCTACATTAACATGGTGAAGGCTGTTACTTCCATCTTGCCTATATAAGCCCATATCCCGTTTTGGAAAAAAGACACACAAAAAGAAAATGGAAAATCATCTTGCATCAATCCTTCTTCTCATATTCTGAATTTCTTATATTCGGATTTTTACATATATTCTGGAGTACAATTGAGAGTTCTAGAAAAATCATTCATGATTGCTGCACAAGTGATTTACGATCGTTGTATCCTGGGAGTGATTGTCCACAGAGGTCGCAGCAATTATCGACAGGCAATTTCACTTAAGGACATCGTGCTATCACGAGACTCGATAGGATGATAAGTTTTATATTTCTGCATTATATTGTTCTGATTACTACTGCAACTAATTATTTTTTCCAACAATCTAAAGTGAAATTGTCTTTATAATTAGTTGCCATGTCTGCCGTAGATATATTTGTTCCTAAGTATTCTGAAAAACCCTGGGAGTGATTGTCCACAGAGGTCGCAGCAATTATCGACAGGCAATTTCACTTAAGGACATCGTGCTATCACGAGACTCGATCGGATGATAAGTTTTATATTTCTGCATTATATTGTTCTGATTACTACTGCAACTAATTATTTTTTCCAACAATCTAAAGTGAAATTGTCTTTATAATTAGTTGCCATGTCTGCCGTAGAAATATTTGTTCCTAAGTATTCTGAAAAATCTGAGTTGTTTGATGGAAAGAATTTTAAGAGATGGCAAATGAAACTACGATTTTATTTGACAACACTTAAAGTCGTTGATGCTATTGAATCAGATAAACCCGTTTTTGCAATTGCTGATAATCCTACTGATAAGGAAACCGAGGATTTAGCTAATTGGGAACATAAGGATTATATGTGCAGGAATTATATTCTAAAATGTTTGACTTTAGATCTGTATGATGTTTACTACTCGTGTAAATCTGCAAAAGAGTTATGGAAATCATTAGAAAAGAATTATGCTACAGAAGATGCTGGAACCAAGAAATTTGTTGTGGGAAAGTTTCTAGACTTTAAAATGAATGATGTTAAAACTGTGGTTAGTCAAGTTGAAGAATTGCAGATTATTATTCACGAATTATTGCTGAAGGATATAAAATCTGTGAGGGCTTTCAAGTGTCAGCTATAATTGAAAAATTGCCTTCTTGGAAAGAGTATAAAAATAGTTTGAAATATAGGAGAAAAAAAATGTCCTTAGAGGATTTGATTATCAGGATTAAAATCAAGGAGGACAATAGAATGGCAGAACGTAAAGAAAGGCCAGACTTTGATACCAAGGCTAATCTTATTGAAGGAAGTTCTGGGACTAAGAAACCAATTAGAAATTTTACAAGGGGTCAGAATTTTAAAGGCAGAAACAAGGGAAAACAATTTGTAGGAAAGAACAATCGGTCTAAGCCCCAGTTTAAAAATAAAATTGTTGGTGACTGTTTTGTTTGTAGTAAACCAGGTCACCTTGCAAAGGATTGCAGAAATAGGAAAGGAAAAGCTGTGAAGCATCAGGTACATGTGGTAGATGATGGAAATTTCTCTGCTATGGTGATAGAAGTGAATCTAGTAAGCAACATGACAGACTGGTGGATAGATTCTAGAGCTACCAAACATATTTGCTGCACGAGAGTTGCATTTTCTTCATTCACTCCCACTAGTGATGGAGAATGTCTGTTCATGGGCAATGCTTCCTCCTCCAAAATCGAGGGGAAAGGAACTGTGATGCTTAGATTTACTTTTGGAAATATCCTTAATTTGAAGGATGTCCTTTATGTACCTGATATTAGGAAAAATCTAATGTCTGGATCTATCTTAGTCAAAAAGGGTTTTAAGATTGTATTTGAAAATGGTCAAGTTGTACTGTCTAAGGGTGGTTCCTTTGTTGGGAAAGGGTATGCAGATGAGAGTCTGTTTAAACTCAATGTCTTTGTGATTAACAATAAAGCTAGCTCTTCCGTTTACTTGTTGGATTCTTATGATTTGTGGCATGCTAGACTTGGACACGTTAATAAAACTTCCATTAAAAAATTAATGACTTTGGGAAACATTCCCAAAATCGATAATTATCCAAATTCAAAATGTGAAACGTGTGTTGAATCTAAATATCCTAGAAAACTATTTTCTCGTGTTGATAGGACTACTTCGGTCTTAAATTTGATACATTCTGATTTATATGACTTAAAAGGATATGTTACTCGTGGTGGAAATAAATATTTCTTAACTTTCATTGATGATTATTCTCGATATTGTTATATTTACCTACCTAAGAGTAAGGATGAAAGCTATTCAAAATTTATTTCCTATATAACTGAAGTAGAAAATCAGCTAAACAAAACTGTTAAAGTTTTAAGATCTGATAGGGGAGGAGAATATACGTGAGATTTTGATAAATTTTGTGTTGAGAATGGTATTATTCATGAGACTACTCCACCTTATTCTCCACAATCTAATGGTGAAGCTGAAAAGAAAAATCGAACCCTTAAGGATATGGTCATATCAATGCTAAGCTCTTCTGGATTATCTTTTAACATGTGGGGGAAAGCACTTCTTACTGCATGTTATATTCTTAACAGAATTCCTTGTGAGAAAAATAATAAGTCTCCTTATGAAATGTGGAAGGGCAGAACACCTTCATATAAAATCTTAAAGTGTGGGAGTGTTTAGCTAAAGCTTCTATTCCAGCACCTAAGAGAACTAAACTTGGCCCAAAAACTGTTGATTGTATTTTTATAGGGTATGCTTTTCATAGTAATGCCTACAGATTTTTAGTCATTGACTCTAAAAATAATTTGATTGAAAATAACACAATATTTGAAATTAGAGATGCTGATTTTTTTGAAAATAGATTTCCGTTTAAAGAAAAGTCTGAAGGATCAAGTAATTCTTTTAGTATTCCTTCTAGTGTTAGAGAGGAGCCATCTGAATTAGAAGAAACTGAAATTAGGAGA